TTGTACCGCTAAGTTGTCCCCGCCTCTGACAAGAGGGCAGCCTTTTGCACGCCTGTATCAGCCACTCATTGACTACAGGCTTCCCCTGGGGGAGAGGCTGGTGGTTCCTTGGGTGAGGCAGCTCTTATCAGCTGAGAGCAATTTTCCCAAGAAGGGGCAGCCGAGGGCAGGGAGAGGGGTGGGGAGGTTAGGGTTGAAGGAGCAAATGCACCCATCCAGGAAGGGGGATCTGGGCATTTGTGGGGTACCAGCAGCATTTACTACCATTGTTCTTAGTTGTTCATTACTTCCATCCTTGCCACCAGACTGAGAGTTCCGGTGATCCAGAACAAGTTTTTTCCTGCTTATTATTGACTCTTCAGTGCCTAGCACAGTATGTGAACGATAAAAACCATTTACGCAATTAACTGATTAATCAAATACTAATTGAGTGCCTACTATATCTTGAGCACTGTTTCAGGGGCTCGTCACTTAGACACGAACAAGACAAAGCACCCAGCCTCACGGAATTCTTTGCTCTCGTTGGGGAGATGACAATAAACACAAAAACATTATATACATGCATATGTACATATGTGCACAGGTACATAGGATAATGTCAGATATTGATAAATGCTATGGAGAAAAACAAAGCAGAGTGAGAGGACAAGGGGAAGTATGGGGTGTTATTTTAGATGGAGCAGTCAAAGAAGGATTCTCTGAGAAGGTGACATTTGAGCTGGGATATGAATGATATGAGGAATCAAACCAGGAGAACATCTGGCGGCAGCAACTTTTATGTAAATTCAAAGTTATTTCAAAATAAAAGTTTGTTTATAAGAAGAATATCTCAGGGAAGTGCATTCCAAACCCAGAGAATAGACGGATGAATCACAGGAAACACCTGGCATTTCTATACTGATAAAGCAGGAGGTGGCTGCGAGAGATGGACAGGTGGCAGGCTGCTTACTGTTTTCATTTATTTTTTAATTAACTTTAAACATTTATCAGAGTATACATGCACAGATTTAAAAAAATCAAAGGGGCTGTAATGAAAAGCAGCTGTCCTGGTCCCAGTCCAGTCTCTCTCCCCAAAGGTATCCACGGTGACTGCTTCTGCCTTAGTGTAGCTCACTTCACCCCAAGTATAGTTGTAGAACATTTTTGGTTCCTTTATTGGTTTCCTTTGTAACTTTCAATAGCATCTTCAAACCTCTAGCTCTCCTTCCATCAGCTGTGGACAGCATATCTTGCTGTTGCCTTTGTAATATCAGGACGCTGCACCCCTGCCATCCTTCCCCACCTTGCACTACCCAACTTCTATCCTCACCCTAGACAGTAGGAAAAGAACTTGCAAGCACTTGGGTGAGATAGGATAGGGGTTTTCAGAGACTGAAAGAACGTTAGTAAGGCTAAAGTTTAAATAATAATGTGACGATGTGTTTTATAACCGTATTTGGCTTTCAATGCTTTTTCTATAGATTGCATCTAAAAGTAGAAAACTATTAACTAGACCATGTGAAAACATCAAGGGGAAATTACAAGATGGGAGGCACTACATCACTTTGTCTACGTCTGCTTGGTTTTCACCATCTCCTTGACTTATACCCATGTGGGTGCCTCAGAAGAGTTTTTCTCTTTTAACCTATGTCCCTCGGAAGAAGAGCATAGACAAAGGTGAGGCTGGTTTGGTACCACTGACACCCAGCTCAGTTCTGCTTCTGGCAGAGAGCTCAAATATCTTCAGAGCCCCTAAATCCTGCCATGTCATCTTCTCATTCATGATCATGTTTTACTGCTGAGCACCTGGGCGTCATCAGAGTGGCTCCAAAATCGAATCACATGGAAGTTTCATAGTTGTCTCTTGAGATCTCATGGAAATTCCTCCTACTCTGAAAAGTGTCATCCCTTCTCCAACTCACAGCTCACAGGGGCTTGTCCCAATAGCCGTGTTTGTGCTACATGACCCTGTCTCTGTGACCAACTGGTTGGGCCAGGAAGTGGTACATGACACAATCAGTTTGTCTCTCCTGGAAATTTAGAATTCAGATTAAAACTGCTCAGTTTAGTCTCTTGGATAGAAAAAACACGAAAACTCAAAATCTAGCTTCCATCTTGAGAATCAAAGAGTAAAGAAAGCAAAACAATCTTTTTCAACTAAAAACATGAAAAGAGGCAGAGATAAAAATGGAGTGACTCTCAAGACTCCTGATGGCTTTTATTGCCTGATTTCATTTCCTTGACGAAACCTGATTGTGTCTTTGCCCAAAGTTTCCTTGAAACCCCACCATATCCTTATACCAAATCCCCCCATTAAATTAGCTCCAGTGAGTTTCTGCTACTTACAGTCAAAATGTACTAACAAAATATCCCCTACTCTGTAACGGGCTCCTTGTGGCATAGGAACCACACCTTCGTATTCTCCAAAGTGCGAATTGCCTTGTACGTAGTAGGCACTCAAGAAGCGTTTATTGAGTTGAATCAGATGTCAGCACCCCTTCGTAAATGACACAACAGCTTCCAGGGAGCAGTGACCCCTCCTCCTGAGGTGAGGTTAACTCGGATGTATGAGAGGATGAACAGAAAAAAGCACGGACGCACCATGCCAGCTACCCTACCGGCTAAGAGTCCGACCGAGGAAAAAAAGAAGAAGCCGTAACAAGAGAATCAAACGTCAGTTTTAAGCTGTCTGAATGCCTCCCAGTCTCCCGCCACGTTAGTAGGATCAGAGAAGATCGTCAGCAGACACAGAAAAAGTCTGGCTCCATCACTATGAGAAGAGAGAGTGCTTTGAATCTCTTGGGTCCCTGATTGATCTGGTGAAAGAGCCCTCTGGTGGTGAAAATGAGCAATTACATCTAGGCTTAGACGCTGATTCTACGCACCTCTGTACACACACCTACACATTCAATTGAATGAAAGGATGAGGTCACCCCCTAGTAAGTGGGGAGGCACCATTGGGAGCTGACTGACGGCCTCCCTGCCTCCGCACACCCACTCCAGTCAGGTGTTCTGACTTGCTCCAAATGCAGGTTCAGGACTCCCCACACTCTGTGAGCAGCTTTGGCCAGGGCAGGTCTTGCAAAGGATCATCCTGCCTCACCATGTCAAAGGCTCAGCATAAAGCTTCATTCTTGTCACATGCGTCCCTTTCTCTCCTTCAGAAAAATTGTCCACATCCTGACCCATGATTTTCACCTTCATCTTCCCAAGCTCTCCCCCCAACCCCGCACTGTCCTACCTGGAGACCTGATTCCTTCTGCTGGACCTCCCGGGCACCACACCTTGTCTGTGGGGCCTACACTACAGAGCTGAGGAGGTGGAGACGGAGCTGCTGTTGTGTTACTGTGGGTCTGCTGAAGGCAGTGACTGGAGCATACTCTCCCTACGGCCCAAAGCCCATTGACGTTCCACCGACACGGTCCTGATTTGAGAAAAGACATTTCTCACCCTTATCGGAGTAAGTGAAGAAACAAACAGATCCTTGAATGGCTGTTTTGGTCATTATTAATTATTTCATGTTATTTAAATATCTGAGGGGGAAGGAAGGAAAATTCCACTCATTTAATAATCCCTCCCAACAGAGACCCACTTCACCTCCATGTTACATATGGCTTTTTCCTTAAAGATAAATAAACAAACAAAAAAATAAATAATCAAGGCCGGACACTTTATTGAGAAGGAAGTTTTCTTTTTAGGAAAGGAAGAACACTTAAGTAACTTATATAGAAGGCTTTGTATACTTTCCCCCATTATTTCCTGTCATTCTTCAGGGGCATGGCTAGTGTGGCTCTGGTCCCAAGTTTATCTGTTCCATTTTGGTTGTGTGGCAAATTTACAACATTTCTACTTCCTGCCCACAAATCAATGGACCATGACACATGCATATGCAATTAAATGAATATAAGTGCACAAATTGACAGTATACATATACACAGGCAGGTAGACCCACACATGCACAGAGCGATGCATCTGCAGCAAACATAGCCACATGGCTCACAACATTGCATGCAGGCACAGACACGTATTTGCATACCTGCTTCACTTCAACAAATTCGCAGGTACTCAGAGCTCGTAACTAAATTGGACACAGCACAGGTAAACATTCAAACACAATACACCATGACTATATCTTCAAACCTATGCATGAAAGTGCGTATATGTCTAATACCAAGAACCAAATCTTCAAGTGAGTTTAACACCAAAGAAAAAGTAGCAAAGTCACTGAGAAGTTGTGAGCTGCATTTGGGAACTCTTCAATACGTTGCTGCTACTCACTCATCTGTAAGGAATCTCTCAGACTGACAGCCAGAGATGACACCAGGGGACTATATGTGTTTGAGTTTACCTCCCATTATATTTTTGTCCAGTTAAATAACATTCAAACATGACAGTTGGTTATGGACACATCTCAGGGACTGCAGAAACAGCCCAAGCAACCTCAATTCCAAAGACCCAGCCTCTGGGCATCTGTTCCATCATGCTGTAGGAAAAAAATAATATTAAAGGCGTTCTGTGGACTGTCCTTAGTCAACTCAGTGTGACTCATGGCTGTGCCAGAATGCATAGTAACAAAAATTGGCTTAAACGCTGTTTTGCAACACTGACTATTTCGAAGGGAGAGTCTCACTAGCTTTCAGGTGTGCAGTGGCATGTGCACTTTGGACTAACAAGGAGAGCAGACCTAACTTCACCTGCCTCCTAGTCTAACTGAGACAAGGATTTTAACAAATGAATATCCCAAGCACCCTTGGAAAGAATCTGACATTTTTGGTGGCTCTCCCGCCTTTAATCTATCGCCTCCGCACCCCCAAATGTAGGGATATTAATATATATGTGAATTCAGAGACCGGTACTCACACCCCTTTGCCCCAAATCCCTGCTATGTGTACAACAGAGTCTATATACGTTTAGCTCCTTCTGTCTTTTAGGAATACACAATCATGTATATGAACAGTTCCGGCTCTGATCTGAGCACGTTGTCTCCGGTGTAAACCAGAGCTCCAGAGAAAGGAGGGTAGACATATTGGTTTGTTTTCTGGGGAACCAAATTGAGATAGACTATACACAGATGTGCCTGTGAGAACACTTTTTGCCCGCCCAAGTGAGACATAGAAACGTCGCCCGGAGTCGCCGGTCCCTTTAAGAAGACTCGGTCTTCCCCATGGGCTCCAGCAGCGCCCGCAGCAAAAGGCAAACTTGCCTGGCTCATTGGTGGGGGGAAACGCCGCGTTGGGTGGGAGCGAGAGAGCCCCAGAGTGCGCTGCGGGCTTCTTTCCCCTTCCCCTTTCCTTAACCCTTCCGGGAGCGGAGGAACGGAGCTGTGCTGCAGCGCCAAGGAGCCGGGGCGCTGACTACCCTCGGCTCCCGAAACTTTGCGCGGAGCGTGGGCTTGACTAGGCAGAGCCGAGCCGGCTGGCTGGTCTGGGAAGGGACGGGGGGAAGGGCATGGGGGAGGACCGACCCTTCAGCACCCCAGGTCTCCAGGCCGGGCGCTAGAAAGGCGGGGGTGCAGCAGCAGCAGAGAAGCTGTCCCTTCAGCACCACGGACCTTTGCCCTCCGGTGAAACCGTCCGGCCCCCGCCCCAGGACTGTCTTTTCTCCAGTTTGAGCGGGGGTGTCGGGAGCAGGCGGAGAGCTTTCCTGGGTGGCTGGGGAAGCAATGAACACTCTTCTCAGCGACTCGCCTCCCAGCAGTGCTATTTTTTGCCATCCGCCCTCACCCCCAGCACACGCGCTCGCACACAAACGCACGCACGCACACACACACACACAGACCTCTCTGGATTTCTTTGCCTTGAGTCTCCTGGGGCTGTGAGGAGCCAGGCGCATCTCAAACCGAGCTGGCATCTTCAGGCTCTGGAGCCATGCCCTGCACGGACCCTCATCCTTACCAAGCTCCTGAGGAATGAAAGGAACCCAGGGACCCTCAGAAAGCAGCAGTGATGTGGACCAATCCCCTGGAGCCTGCACCCTTCCGAGGGCCATAGGCGACCCAGAGAACAAGACAGAGCTCCTGACAGGAAATCCCAGCTTTCCCAAAGTCCCTGTGGATGCTGACAGAAGGAGACTCGGATTTTTGGAAGCGCCTGTGCTAGGTTATCCAGCTGCAGAGTGATTTTCCCCTCTGGCATTGAAGCTCCCTCTGCACCCCCAGCCATCCAGAATACCATGAAGAATTATGAGGATGTGTGACAGAGGTATCCAGATGTTGATCACCACTGTGGGAGCCTTCGCAGCTTTTAGTTTAATGACCATTGCAGTGGGCACGGACTACTGGTTATATTCCAGAGGTGTGTGCAGGACTAAATCTACAAGTGATAATGAAACCAGCAGGAAGAATGAAGAAGTAATGACCCATTCGGGGCTGTGGAGGACCTGCTGCCTAGAAGGTATTTGCAAATTCCTCTTACTGGTCCCAAATAATCCAGTTTCTGATATTCTGATGTTCCAGTGGGTGTTTGGGAGATGGAGGCAGTGATAAGGAAAGAGGAATAGCTCAAATTATTGCTGAGAACGTGCAGATGTCCAGACTGTTCCCAGCAAGACGAATGCTGTGTGGAATGAAGGGGTTGAGTCTTGTTGATTGTTTTTTGTAAAAGCTTCATGAGATGAGATTTTGTGGCACTCTAGGCAGCTTCTGCAGTTGACAAAAGTCTTCTAATCCAAAATCCTTAGGCATATTGTGAACCGCTCTGGTCTCTGGCTTGAGATGGGTCTTTGGCTATGCTTAAATTGCATTTTGGAGGGGAAGGAGAGGGAGGGAGGGGGAGGGAGGCTGAGAGGGAGGGGGGACAAGAGAGAGAGTGAGAGAGACAGAGAAAGAGAGAAAGAATGAGAGTCCCTGACCTAGACTGGCACACTTTGAGCTATTTCCTTATTTCTCAACACAGTCTTATCAGTTTCTTCTGAGTTTGGTTTAACCAGATATTTCCATGAACTTCCATTACCAACCAGTTCTAGACTAACATGTGTGAACCCCTACATGAACACACAGACATTTTAAGAAAACGTCCTTATTAATACATCTTTCGCTATTTGGGATCAAAACAAAACCGAAGTCTTGGTGCTTAGAATCCACCTGTCTTCTTTCCTAAATCATCCCCAAAGCCCAACAAATATATTTCGATGATATTTACATGAGGTGGATTCTCCAAGAATCGAAGCCTGTCACTTCTAATGTTAAAAAATGAGAATTTGTTCTAAGTTATAATGAAGAGGATGGACCAATTTTAGAATGCCAAGCTCCTGGGTATCCTTTCTCCCTATAAAACTTGCTTTCACTACACCAGGAGTCATTCTCAGCATCACAGGCAATGCCTGGATGTCAGTGGGAGAAAACAGAAAGACAGAGAAGAAAAGCAAAGTTCTTTGGAGCCTATGTACCTGAGAGAAGACACTCTCAGATCAGAGGGGATTAGAGGGGCAGAAGGGAGTTTTCTCAGGTTTCTGGGGAATCTGTGAAGCTGGTCACAGTGATGGGCAAGGAAACCTGGGTTTTCTGTATGCTCCCGTCCCCTGCTTGTCATTGGTTCTCCATGCTTACAGCCCACTGGCTGGCATTTGTCAGGGCTTCTTGAGAACTTGCATTTATGTAAATCGCTTAGGAAATCATGCTATGACATCACTTGCTAGTGTAATATTGCGTCATCCCCTGGCCTCCTTCCCATGTCCTGACACTCTGAACAACTGCTCTCCTGAGTGTAGCACTACTACAATTGATTGTGTTTGCAAGGCAAATTTGCAACTGGTGGGAAGCCCAGGTAGGAAAGAACTACATTCAATGCAACAAGGATCTCTGTACTTGAAGTCGAAAGACCTGGTTAATCCTGCAACCTATCTGTGTGACCTTGGCAAAGACTCTTACCCTCTCTAACCCTCAGTTTAGTAATCTGGGAAATGATTAGTTTGGAGTAGGTAGTCTTGAATTAGCACTACCCAAAGCTTATATTGTATCCAGCATACTGATGGAAATTCTAGAATAATTCTTTCCTAAACATTGACAAAAATCTGCTATTTGTGATCAGTTATGGTGAAGTCATTTACCTTAGGGAAATTCCATAATTCCCTTTCCTGTACTGACAATAAGGACTTGAATAATCTTTTGTGAAGCAGTGATTTGGTGGGTGATTTGATGGCTACATGGTTCTAGGAATGGCATAAAAAATCTGAAGCTCTTCCCAAGCTCAAAGTGGCACATATGTAGACCATGTTTTAGTAATTTCCAATTCTTTTGCCTCATGGAACCAAACCTGAGAATGCACAATTAAACACCAATTTCGGCTCCCCCTCTTAGGGCCTAAAATTCCTGAACCCTTGCTCAGAATTTCTCAACTGAGGGTTTCTCTTTTCTCCAACATCATGTCCTACACCCACAGTTTGTACAAGGAATTGGAACCGCACTCGGGCATTCTGTGGGCTCAGTGGGAGAAGTGAGAATTTGAATCAAGAAGGAGTCGGATGACTCTAAGATATGTTCTTGGTCATGTGAACTCTTTTGAGAAAATTTGTTGCAGTCTCCATGCAATTTGGCCCAGCTAATTTTTTTTTAACATATTTTGAAGTATTAAATATAGTAAGATGCATGAACTTTAATGAATCCCAATGATTTTTTAGCTATGCTTATACCCATATAACCAGCACTAGATGGACCTGGCTGAAATCTGAGGCCAAGATTTTTCCTCATGTACTGAATACATCAAGTGTTCAAGGAATTTGCAGGAGCCTCTGATTTCTGCATGGGGAGACATATGCAGTAGGCAGCATTCATACGTTGCTGGAATGAAGGTACAGCCATCTCTCATTCAGTATCTCCTCTCTCCCAGAGCCTCAACATCCTCATTTTTCTGGTCCTTTAACGTCAAAGGATAGTGGGGGGTCTTGTAGCTCAATTTTCTTTGATATCAAATTAGAAGAGTTAGTTCATTTACACTTTTTAAGAGCCATGAGAGAATGTGGCTATTTTGTTCAAAAGAAGAGAATGCTCAGGAGGGACATGACAGCTGCCTGCAAACGTCTGAAGGGTTGTCATACTGAAGAGAGATTCGAAATGTTCTGTGTGGCCTCGAGGGGTAGAAGGAGGAGCTAGAGGAAAACAGTTTTACCTTAATATAAGTAACTACCCAATGTGGAATGGGAAGCTTTAAGAGGTTATGAGTTCTCCACCACCAAAGATATTCAAGTATAAGACAACTACATCAATTGTTTCCAAACTTGGCTAGTCATCAGAATCACGTGAGGAACTTTAAAAAATAGACGATCAGGCCCCTCAACTGGATTCCCGGCTTCCATAGGTCTGCGGTGCATCACTGGAATCTGGATTTTCTAAAAGTCCTCCAAGCAATTATGATGTTAAAGCCACTATGCACTGAGAATTTACAATAGGCCTGGGAGCGACTACATGTGTTAAAAAGGATCACATTGCTCAAGTGAGAGAGAGGATGTTTCCAGTTTTCATTTCTATAACTCACCAAAATGTCCTCCACATTTAGCACTTACTATGTGCTGGAACTGCTCTAAGAATTTTGAAAAATTACCCCCTTCATCTTCAAAGGAGCTCAATGTTGTAGGTATTGTTATTATCCTTGTTTTATAGGTGAGGAAACTGAGGCCTAAAGAAGTCATATGACTTGCCCAAGGTCACATACATAACCCAGCAGGCAGTACTTCACCTAAGCCGTGTTAGGCGAAGAGCATTTGCTACACAACATTACTTCATGCTCTGCTGGATAGGTTGCTACTGGTACAGACGTTAGCTTGAGAATGCCCCGACACATGGGTTTTTCCATTCAGAAGCCCCAGAGCCCAGAATACCCAGCATGCCTGTGCAGTGTCTGCAGGGGTGCAGGAGCCACCAGACAGGCACAAACTCAGAGGCAGCAAAGGACACGCTTTGAATGAGAAAACAATCGACCTATGTAGAGACACCCACACTGAGAAACCAAAACGCATGCCTGACTCATTATCTGGAAAGCATGCAAGGCATTCACAAAGTGGTGCCCCAACCTGCTGCGTGTTTTCAATGGCAGCGTTTGAATTTGAATGAGAACACGTTCAAAATGTGATTCTCTCATTAAGAGGACCTCTTGAAGTCCCAGATACAATCAAAGGGATGTATTTAGATAGTGGGAAAACCACAGGCCTAGTAGCAAGAGACCCTGTGTACTAATCACATTTCTGTCACTAAGAGTAATGCGAATTGTGCGTGTTATTTTCCTCATCTGGACCTCTGTTTACCCAATTCTGAAACCAGGGCTTCAGCTAAGATTAGATTAGGAAGGAAAAAATCCATATGTTCACGTGGACTAGGCAGATAATTTAAAGTGTGAAACAAGCATTTCACAGTCCTCTTAACTCAGTTCTATGGGAGGAAAAGTAACAGTGCATTTGAGAAGATAGAAGAAACTTGGTCTCAATATGGGGGCAATAGAGAGTGACACGGACTGCGGCAAATTGGAGAGCACCAGCCCCATCTGAGGGACAACTCCTACTTAGCTGGAATTGATTTTTACCCTGGGGAAACCAAATTTGGCTCAATATTCCAAATTTTAAAATGCCAGATGTAGAATTTTGATTTTTAAAATGTGGGCGACTAATTCAACTTTTAAAAAACACAGTGCCAGCCAAACCAAACTCACCCTGTAGCTGAATTTGACCCATGGATGGCCAGTTTTGTGCCCTGGAAATTATCTAAATGGCCTTTTTATTCCAAATTTCTGATAGTTTCATATTTGATTCCTGAATTGCTCTTCATTAGCCAATATTTACTTTTTCTATTCATTAAAAAAAATGCCTACTAAGAAAAGAAAGCCCATTTAGGATTTTAGGACAGGGAACTTAAAATTCTAGAATAGAGCTTCAATAAACTGCTATTTCTGCTACAGATGGGCCTGGATGACATCAAACATCTGGCTGAAAAACTGAAAAAAATATCCAGTCATTAGAAGTTCCCCCATATTTCCCAATCTCCAGATGGTTGACTTTTTCAGCCAGATGGGGTTCCAGCTTTATTTATGTGTTCAGAAGCCTTTGGGGAAGCTGCAAAGATGTGGTTGAGGACAAGGGGGAGAGAAGGTCATGATATTGGTTGAGTATTTCCCACGTGTCAAGCCCAGCACTAGGTGCTTTCAAATACACTAACTCATAATTTTCATATCTCCTAGTAGAATATAAACTCGATAAGGACAGCAATTGTCTGTTTGGGGCACTGCTGCATCCCTGGAGCTTAGAAGCAGTACCAATAGTCACTTCTGCTCCTCCCATCCTAGGTCTGATGCTGTTCCTTCCCTTAGACGTGGATGCAGAACGCATCAGAACTCTCTTATTCTCTTCCCTACTCCTGACCTTCTCCCTATTCTTTTCCCTGCCCTCTTCTTCCTTGTCCGTAAAGCCC